CTCTCTGCTTATATATATATATAAACTTCTGTTTGGAAAATCAAGAACTTGTGAGCAATATCGTGCTTTAGACGTGTGACTGATTGGTTTGTGTCTGAAAGAGTTTGAGAGCTAGTGGTGGACTTTGTGAGAGTAATGGATGATGGAGATAATATATAAATGGTAGTGAGAGAGAGATAGGTCTGAAAAAAAAGGAGAAACATAGAGAGTTAATACTTAGTAGGTATAATTAAATTTAAGTAAATTGTGATTAGAATAGGATTAACGAAGAAGACGACCACATGGACACGTTAGGAGGAGACACAAGCAGACAAATTACAGACATGTAATTAGAGTTGTGTTATTAAACATATTGAAGATTAAGAATAGAGATGAGCCATGCAACTGTACAAGAATTATATAAATTAAAATCTTGCATCGATCGAGACTAATTTATAAACATATTTTCTGATAGATGGATCAGTCAAAGGGAGTTGGGAATTTAACGAGAGAGAGTGCATGAAGGATGGTAATGAACAGATTAACACATGTCGGCACATGACCCTTGCGTTCGTTGCATGTGATTAATATATATCCGACTTGTAGTGAGAAGAAAGAAATAGTTTAACAACATTCTAAATTGGAACCAAGCGGTGGTGGGCTAGTGGTTTCTACTTGAACAAGGTCTAGGTCAAAATTCAATTCTTTCAACCACGAAATTTTATAGCTTCTCCCTCTTGATGGTGTCACGCTTTAAACCTATCAGAAAATATGGTGAGTGGGCTACTTGACAGCTACACCCATATTGAAGATTAGTCGGATGGTAAAAACCCGGATCATCTCTTGGTTATAAAAAAAAAAAATCATTCTAAATTGGTTTTTCTAGTTTATATGAAAATTACATATAGAGCCATATAGGTCATAAAATACAAGTTTGAAATATCTGTTTGGAGATTTTTTTAGTCATACATATATACGAACAAAAATGTTAAATATGATAGCAACTTATCAATGTAAAACAAAAGCAAATCATGGTGATGCAGTCGGAGAAAAAAAAATAGTGTTTAAATAATCGCAGAATTTCGAATTGAAATTTATGACGATTTTTTTTTTTCTCTAAAAGATATGATCATCTTTGAAATCATAAGTTTTGATATAAGTATTTCATGTAATCTTTTTAGGGTCATTCGCAAGAATAACAAAAAAAATAAAAATCTATTAAGTAACTAAAATGAGTCTATGTGACTTAATGACATCTATTAGAATTAGGACAAATGTTTATGGTTTGAATTATAATTTTGTTTGTTGTTATTGAGCCCAATTTTCTATCTTTTTTATTATTTTATACATGTTTTTTCTCCAGGATGCCCCCCGTGACTTTTGTCTCTGGCTTAAGCTTATGAGTTATGAGGTGATTTGTCTGTATTTATGAGTTCATAACGCAATTAATTCACATTTTTCTTAAAAGCTACTAGTATCATTTAAATTCAGAGTCCAAAAGTACCAACAGACAGCTTTTAAACTCAAATCTAATTTCTTAAGAAAATGTTTATATGAACATTTATATAGAAATGAATATTTATTTTTGTCCACAATTATGATAATATATAACAGTAATTAAGCAAACTATTTGTATGAACAGACAAACAGACAATAATAATATAAATGGGGTACAAATTG